AGGAATAAGATCCTCCGGAAAAGGGTGCTTTTTCCGGAGGATCGGGGCCAGTGTAGACGCTCTTTTCCGGCTTTTCTAAAAGCCGGAAAAAAGCGGCGGACATTTTTATTTAAATGCCGCGGGGGATATTTAAATCCCCCGCGCATTTCCCTATTGCGATTTCAAAAATTACCATGCCCCTTCCGGAAAAAGGGCCAATGTAGACGAGCCCCATGTGTAACCCCTGCCTCTAACGCAGAGAGGCAGAACCAAACCTGGGGCCTCTGTAGCTTAGATCATGAGCCTCTACCACTTGAGCTAAAAGCCAACTGGCTCTCAGCTAAGGCTGTAGAGCACAGTCATTTTCTCCCTCTGTGTAAGTGGTCAAAGTGCCGCTACATGGGACAAGGCACCACACCCAGTAGGCGTGTGGATTACCCCTGCACTAACAAAAAGCTAAACCTATGCTTGGGCGCATCCTGGTCCAGGGAACATGCCAGTAGCATGATCCACAACAGCCAGAGGCATAGCCCAGATTTACCCACTTAAGGGCATGTTTACACAAGTGTCATTTTGGAAAAACTGATGTTATTCTGAAATATCATAGCCCACCTCTACACTACAAGCAGTTATTTCAACATAATGTCAAAATTACGTTGATTACTCCGACTCCTGTAACTCTCATTTTACGAGGGGTAAGGGAAGTCAGAGGACGTGCACTCTCTCTCAGACTTCCTGCTGTGAAGATAGCACCAAAAGCCAAGTGAAGCTATTCTGACTTCAGCTACGTCAATTACATAGCGTAAGTTACGTAGCTTATTTCGGCTTTACCTCTGCTGCGTAGACTGCACTAAGACCCACAAATATAGCTCTAGGTCAGTCCCTAGAACTTTAAGACCGAGGAACACCAAACAATTTTTTGTTTTAAATGAAGAACACCAAGGATTTTTTTTTGTTGAAGAAAAAAAAAAAAAGGGGAAAAAGGGGGGAAAAAAAGTTGCCCCTTTAAGGGTGGCCATTTTGAGTTCTGTTGTTCTTTGTGGCACGTCTTCGACTGCTTTGCAGCACACCGGCGTGCTCCAGAACACAGTTTAAGAAACACTGCTCTAGGAGAAGACAGGAGCAAGCTACCTACTGTCCCCTCAAATCATGCTAGTTGTGTTAAACCTGGGTCAGTGCTTGGACATCAAGGGTACATCTACACAGCAACATTATTTCAAAATGTTGAATAATGTAGTTCATTTCTACACAGCAGGTAGTCATTGTGAAATAATGTCAAGCTAGAGAACTTCTTACTCTGATTCCAGTAACTCTCACTGTACAAGGAGTAAGGGAAGTCGGAGGAAGAGTGCTCTATTTTGAAATAAGTGATGTGTAGATGCTCCCAATTTCAATTTCAAAATAAGCTACACAATTGACGTAGCTCAATTTGCATAGCTTATTTCGAGTTAAGCCCTGCTGTATAGACACACGCCAAAGCACCTACAATTACAAAGACAGACTAGGTTTTAGCAAGCAGGAAATAGGTCATTTCTATGTATTGTTCCAAAATAGAAAGCACCACATCTCTCAGCATAGCACAGAATGACCCAGATTTATATCAGCTGAAAAGCTGCCCTTTGAAAGGAGAGGTGAAATAAAGAGAAGGAATGTGGAGTGTAGAACAGGATGAAAGAAAAAGACAACAGGAAGAGGACATCAAAAAGGAGAAAAGAAGAGAGGGGAGTTGTATGCACACTCTGCAAACGACTGTAATAATCTTCATGCAAAATAAGTCTTGTGAGGTATCATTTGAAAACTAACAACTCACAGATCGCGCACATTCTATATACTGTATACACATACTTAATATTGTATTAAGAGTTGTGACTATATGCTGGAATTATTGTGTGTAAAACAGGTATGGCAGGGGGAGTAGTAAACAAAAGAATGTGTATTTACTACTGATGTGTCAATTAAGGTAAACAGGACCCTCAAGACAGCAGGGAGGAAAAAAAAGATGGCAGGAAACAGTCTAATTTGCATTAGAGTTAACAAGTTGAGGAAGAAAGAGGATGGAATGTCTTTCATCACTAGAATCCATGGCACTTCCCTCACGACTTCAATAAACTTTACTTTGGAAAGGTAACCTTCAAAAGAATCCATTGCCAAGGTTCACTGGTCTGTAAAGACAGGGGTTTAAACCACAAGGTAATAAGCAACTGAATCCATTTTTATAATACAGTAATATTGTACGCCTACAGTGAGTTCTGATAGTGTTCTCATAGCTAATGGCAGATATTGGTGATTAACAGCATAGTGAAAAGTACGTACTAACACTACATGAAGAGGTCTCAGAGGTAGCCATGTTAGTCTGTAACTTAAAAACCAAAAAACACCATGAGTGGTCCTGTAGTACCTTGGGGTATGTCTACACTACCACCCTAGTTCGAACTAGGGTGGTAATGTAGGCAACCGGAGTTGCAAATGAAGCCCGGGATTTGAATTTCCCGGGCTTCATTTGCATATTGCCGGGCACCGCCATTTTTAAAGGTCCGCTAGTGCAGACTCCGTGCTGCGCGGCTACACGCGGCACGGAGTCCGCACTAGCGGACATTTAAAAATGGCGGCGCCCGGCAATATGCAAATGAAGCCCGGGAAATTCAAATCCCGGGCTTCATTTGCAACTCCGGTTGCCTACATTACCACCCAAGTTCGAACTAGGGTGGTAGTGTAGACATACCCTTGGAGACTAACAAAAAAATATAAAAACAACGAATAGTCTAGCAGCACCTTAGGCTATGTCTACACTACAGGTTTTTTGCGCAAAAACATCTGTTTTTGCACAAAACCTGCGGAGCGTCCTCACCTCAAGCACATTTTTGCACAAGAAAATCTACAGTCAATTGATAGAACAGAGAGCTTTTTGCAGTGTAGGTATACCTCCTTCTACGAAGCATAACCCGTTTTTGCACAAGGATGCTCATCACAAAAAGCACAGGTGCTCTGATGGCCATTCACAGAATGGCCATCAGAACTTTCTTGCACAAGAGCGTCCATGCAGTGTGGACGCTCTCTTGCGCAAAAGCACATCACTTTTGCAATGTGCTTTTGAGGTATGGATGCACTTCTGTGCAAAAAGATTTTGCGGAAGACCTCTTGCACAAAAAGCTTCTTGATCAAAAACCCTGCAGTGTAGACAAAGCCTTAGAGACGAGCAAAACATGTCGATGGTATCATGAGCTTTCGTGGGTAGAACCCATTTCCTCAGATAAGCTAGAGCTCATGAAACAAAGTCACTGAGCTATGAGAGATACAAGCAGAGACAGAAGCTGTCTTTGGCATCCATTACTAGACAGACGAGAAAAAGAGAGCTCAGGCAGGCTGAAAAAGAATGGATCTTTCTGCCAAAACAGGGTTAAAGTCTCTGGAAACTGAATGTAGGTAGAAATCATCTTCAACAAAGCCTATATCTTGCTAGATGAAGTTTTCAACATGTATTTGTGCCCATTTCTAATATTATTTCTTTTACTTGGAATCACTTAGCCCAGTGGTCCCCAACGCGGTGCCCGTGGGCGCCATGGAGCCCGCCGGGGCATTTGTGCGTGCCTGCTGACAACCTGGGCCGGCCCCACACGCAGCGGTGCTGGGCGCT